CCGGGCTTGCTGAGTTCCATGTTGCTGCTGAGCCTGGCCCGCGTATGCTGGTGATTGGCTGCTTGCCGAGGCTTGCGGCTGGCTTGTCGTCGCGCTGCCGTTTGCGTGCCGAGCTTGCTGAGCTTCATACTGCTGCTGAGCCTGGCCCGCATATGTTGGTGATTGGCTGCTTGACGATGCGTGTGGCTGGCTTGCTGTCGCACTGCTGTTTGCGTACCGGGCTTGCTGAGCTTCATGCTGCTGCTGAGCCTGGCCCGCATATGCTGGTGATTGGCTGCTTGCCCAGGCTTGTGGCTGGCTTGTTGTCGCACCGCTGTTTGCGTGCCGGGCGTGCTGAGCTTCATGTTGCTGAGCCTGGCACGCATATGCCGGTGATTGACTGCTTGCCGAGGCTTGCGGCTGGCTTGCTGTCGCACTGCTGTTTGCGTGCCGGGCTTGCTGAGTTTCAATTTGGCGCACCGCAGCTTTGTGACGATTGATGCTATGCGACTCGAGCCTGACGATCACGGCATCCCGCAGTTCGCGAGGAGTTGAGGGCTTGGGCACCGCAGAAGCTGGGACCATTTTTGGGAGCAAAGGCATCCATTTCAGTGACATCGTATCCACTGAGAGCTGCTTTGGCCACGTAGGCTGCCTTCACAAGTCCATGGCCCACACGGCTTTGGACGATTCTACGCTTCTCTCCTTGACTCTGTTCCGAGAGATACGAAGCATGTATACCCCCTGGTTTTAAATGCTTGGTTAACAGCTTCGGGAAACTAGGGAAACTGAGGGAGATTTAGGGCTTTGGAGTTACGTCCTGTGGCTTTGATGAGGTTTCAGGATTTGGGCGCTCGGGATGCAGGGATTCGAGGTGTGCAAAGGCGGTTCATGGACCACTCTTTCGGGACATTTTCGCACTTCAGCTATTAATGTAAAACCACGAGTGCTTGAGCGATGACAGCAAGGGACTCTGAGCTCACCTGCTTCCTCTGCAACAGCTACAGTAAGGAGGACACAGTGTGCCACTACTGCCACTACATTCAGGGCCACGCCAGCAGCTTCTGCAGCATCTGCAGTTGCAGTGTCCTCCTGTGCAGAGCAGACCAAAGGAATGTCCCCGCAGTAGTATTGGCCAGATTCCCTCTTAGGCTCACAGAGGAAGCGGGGTTCAATATAAGCATGGTCAGCAACAAGCTAAGAACAGCTCACCAATCTCCTCCTTGTGCCGCTTGGTTTCCAAGAAGGCGGCAACAGCAGCCTGCAACATGTTTTGCTTGATCCCTGCTGCGGTCCTGCTTTGCGACTTTCCTGTTCAGCCCCTTTTCTTTCAAGTGCTCACATTCCGCTTCCGGGGATGACCTTGCCGAGACTACACAGTAGGGTTTAGGGGATTAGGATGAAGAAGCCTTCCTTGTTTTGTTTGTTCCATGATTCGCTGAAGCCCCTGTCGGTTGAGCTGCCTGCCATCATGTCACTGCCCCCACTTGGTATCAAAGCACGCAAGATGCCAGGCATCTCCAATCCCGCATATCGCAGCGCAGAGCCGAAATTCTGTGCAAGGGCTTCCCATCCAGACCATGTTGCTACTGGCCCATGGTCGCCCCGGCCACTTGTCAAGCAGTGGATGTATTGCTCTCGAGGCAACGTATCGAGTTCGTTTTGCGCCCGACCATCGCGACTACAGCGAGCGGACCACAGTCATCAAGCTTAGCTCACCGAGGCGACCATTTTCTCAAGCTGCTGAAGCACTTGTCTACTTTTGTCACTGTATCAAATCTCTTCCTGGCAGAACCTTTAGGGCTCGGCCCGTGGGTCCCTCGCGCATGCGTGAAGTTCCGCAGCGAACTAATGGAACACACGACGCTGTCCAGGTTTACAGGAATTAATGACAAGCTAGGCTTCAGATCTTGTGGAATGAGTAGACTGTTGCAGGAGGCCTCCACGGAAGAAGTCAAAGCGCGGCTCTGCTCAACCAGGGTCTCTTCCTGGCCCTGCCAAGACATTCTGTTGCACATCGTCTTTGAGCTAGGGTTTGCTGCTTTGTAGCACTTCCTGTAAGAACGCCAACAGTCGGTTTCAGAGGCATTCTCGTACATCGTGCAGGATTGCACACTTCTTTGGTGATGTCTCGGGGATGTTGCCATAATGACCCCGTAGTTTGGGCCCCATGGGCGGTCCTAAGGCCTTGTTTAGCTTGAAAACGGGAAGCAGTGTGATCACAATCTTTCTGGCGCTGCTTCTATGACATAGTGTCCTGGAAGCTCAAATAGACTGAGACATGAAAGCGTAGCCATATAAGCACGATTAGGATTGTCCCTTTGATTGTTCCAATGTATCCGGTCTAGTATCTGTGCTCTGTCCTGAACACAAGGTGATACGCGGGGATACCAGAGATTGGTTGTCAATTCCGCCGGTGGCTACTAAGAAGTTGCCTCGAGCTTCTGCAGCTGTTGCGCCACGTCTCGGCAGCGCCGCAGCTGAGCATCCAGGCCTTCATGCTTTGCCTGGCAGATGCGCAGCTCTGCGCAGGTTCTGAAGTCAGTCTCTGATCAAAGCACAACGCGAGTAAGTAGTTGAGAGTCATCTGTGTGGCAGAACCGGAGGCAGCAGCTCGCCTGCACTAAACTGCCAACCCTAAAATGCCTTGGCTTGCTTCAATGCTTCCTCCATGTTCACCAACTCTTCGCGAAGCTTTGCTTCCTCCGCCGCCTCTCCATGCTCAAACACACAAGGCAGGCCGCATTAAATGAGACCCCATTTGCTCACAGAGCGATACACCTGGCTAAAGAGCCGCGATTCGGCAACACATTGTGCAAGCAACACAGTACCACAACTAATGTCACAGTGCTGGGCACAGGCAATCTGACGCTGTCAGTTCGACAACTAGAAAAAGGCCTCCGGGTCGTCCTCCTCCTTGGCCATCGCTGCTGCACCTGCCCCGATTTCAAAAGATGCCAGGGGCCGGAGATGTTGTGGACTGCGGCCCAGGTGCTTTCGGCCACGATCTCAGCAACATCCTCCGAGGCATCCACTGCCGCTGCGGCCTCCGCACCTGAAGCAACAGGGCCCCAGAAATGCCCACAGATGTCTGCCACAAGGAACACAAGGACAGGGATGACACGGCGTCCAGGCCTGCCGCCTCCGCCTCCTCGGCCCTCTGCTTCCGTCGCGCCTCGATCTCCTCCAGCTTCGTAGCAGCCCTTGGCTCAGAGTTGAGAGTCCACATGCATCGGGAGCACTGCAGACGCCAAAGCCTGCTGCAAAGCTGCTGTTGCAACTCTGCCTCCGCTTTCTCTGCCTCCGCCTGCGCTTCCGGGACAGATGCCTCGAGCTGCTGCATCCGGCTGTCCACAGCGGCCTCAAGCCAGATTGCAGCACACGAGCTGTGTCTGGGCATTTCATTTTGCTGCTTCCGTTGTGCCTTGAGCGACGTGTACTGTCCTTGCAAGGCTGCCGCCTCCAGTCCAAGATATCCGCAAACGTCCGGCCACACAGCTGCCTTCCGCGCCTCTGCTTTGATGTCGTCCTCCTCAGGGTTTTCTCCGGCAACTTTCAGCAGGCCTGCGACAGGGAAGAACACGAAGGTCCGGCCCCCTTGCACGTCACTGAAGTCATCCAACCTTCGCCCAGCGTCATCTGGTCACACTTGGTTGGGAGAACGCCAAGGACCACCAACTGCTGTGGCCAGAGCGCACTGAGCAAGGCTGTCCTTCAGAGGAGCACTTTCCAAAAATCTGTCCAATGTCGACGCCACGTGCGTTTTGCCACAAGAACTGCACTACATGTAGCCAAAGCACACTGTCTGCTCAGCCGATGGCAAGTAGCCGCATTCCACACCGTCAAAAACAACACAGGCGTTGCAGTCAGGAAGCCTTAGAGAAAAGGTCTCTTGAATACCCCGAGCATTACACCAAGCATGCGACGAAACTGCAAACAGGCGGCTGCATCCTCTGCTGCAGGAAGTACACGATATCCTCCATTGGCAGCGAATATGTAGCACTCCTTGGCACAAACCTTGGTCAATCACGGTCAATCCAGCTTGCTGGTGGGAGGTTTGCTCGCCATGCCAATGCCATCCCAACTGCGCTTCCTTGGCCTTCTTAGCCGCGGCTTCTCTCTCCTTCATACAAGACACTTCAACATGAACGTGGGCTGGAAGGGGTTTTGGGGCATAGCTGGCGCTGCTCATCTGTAGCGTCCTTCTCGGCCTTCTCGTGCTCCTCATCCTGAGCGGCCATCCTCGGCTTCACAGTGTCCTTCTAGTCATTTCTACACGGCTTCTGTTCCTGGACTGAACCCAACAGCTTTCCTGCTGTCGTCATGACACGCATTTGTACTTGCCAATTGCCGCCGCTACCGTGGTGGTGGTTGTAGTTGTCGTCATCGTCGTCGTTGCTGTTGCGGTTGTCGTTGTTGCTGTTGTTGCGGCTGCTACTGGCTGCCGCCGCCGCCGCCGCTGCTGCTGCTGCTGCTGCCGCAGCCGCTGCTTCTGCTTGTGTTCGTATGACTGCGAATTTGGCCTAGCTGCTGCTCGCAATCGCCATGTCGGCTTGTTCTTCCACCACCATGGTCAACATTACCAGATATTCCCCGGAGACTTCACTTGTGTCAGCAAGCGTCAGCTTCCGAAGTCTGTCGCGACGCTCCTCCTCCTCGGGCCCTTGAAGTGCTGCCGGCCCTGCAGAAGAAGACTTCAGGCTTTGGTTTGTAAAGAAGCAAAGGCATGCGTCCAAAGGGGGAGGAGGCTGATTTCGAGACACGCTCACCCAAGGCCCGGTGAGGTTTGGGGCTGCGGAAGGGCATAGAATAGAAGGATGCTCTGACACACGATGATTTCGTGGCCAACTATGAACACCCAAGTAAGTCCAGACTAGAATCTAGCCCTCAGTCAGTCAGTCAGTCAGTCATACGCCATGCGGCGCATGGACAGGCAAAAGCTGGCTCACCGTGCGACGTCTTAGCCCTACATATCGACAAAAATCCCTTGGTAGTATAGTATACAGCGCGACTAGTCTTCGATGCTTGTGACAGAAGCAGGGACGTCTTGCTACCTGGCCTGACAGAGCCCAGTCCACAGCTGCGTCCTTGCAAGGGTACGCCTGCTCTACTACTTCCACTGCTGTTACTACTACCACTGCCACTACTACCACTACTGCTACAGGCTTGACACTGCTTTTTGCATCACTGCTTTCTGCCTCAGATAGAAGCTCCGTTTGTGTTGTGCAAGTCTTCACATGGCCCGGTCCACGGACAGAATCTTCCGTCTGCCGTCGGCGAGGTGGGCTGCCAGGGAGCTCTTCCCAGTCAAGGGGGGGCCCAGCAGCAAGACGTGGAGTCGATCCTGAAACCAGAGAAAATGCAAAATCTCCAAGACCGGCACTACTATTTTTTGAAAGTACGAAGAACCAAGTTGTCGTCATCGCAGTCATAAGATCGCTTGCATCCAACGAGAATGTCAAGAATGTCTTCGCCGTCTCGTTCTCAGACTTCCCTTCGTTGCAGCGACTTTCGCAGTCGTACTCTCAAGAATATGTCTGAACGAAAGGGCCTGACTTCATACGAAGCGCTTAGACTACGAGTTCAATGATCCAGCCTGTAACACCACCCATGCGACATTTTCAAGGTAGCTGCCATTGTATTCTTATCGTTACCACTACCACGATCGCAGCCAAACTCCGGAACAGTTCAACTATCTACCTTGGAGACTCTCGGGCCTCATCCAGCACTCGGTATGGGAAGTCGGCTGGATCCATCTCAGGCTGTGCCTCAAGTCGCAATGCCGCGACACACCACTTTTTCATGGATGCCCGGACCACCCCATATGCTCACACAGGAGAAACAATCAGCCATTGACTACCTCTCATCAAGAAGTGACTTGACTTGTAGTGACACAACTTCTCACAAATTCGGTATATCTGAAGGGATCGCCCTGGAATGTGGTCTCACATGAATGTAGGCCAAGCGGTCCTCTTCCACCTCGCCTCCCTCTTCCACAGACTCCTTGTCACGAGTCGGACATACGGTTCAAACCGGACGCATGAAACTGGAACCGGCTCCGTATGAGGATTCAGAGCTGAGAGGCAGGTTATAGGGGATAAGTTTTGAGGACCCATCTTTTAATAGACTTATGACAGGCCTTTGAGGTCATGTTAGGGACAAGGCATTCTGCCACATTATCTTGACGAATTTCTCGTGTAGCCCTGGAATCTCTGACACTTCCTTAAAACAAGCGGGTCCTCTTCTGGCACCTCTTCTTCCTCTGGCTCTGCATCGATTTCAGCCAGGGCTTCCTCTGCCTGTGAATCGAGGCTTGCGAGCCATAGTATCAGAACAGCTTGTGCTGGAACTCGGACAGGCCCCGGCCTATAGCCATTGTTGATAACATTAACCGGACACAACATCACAAGCAGCTGACAATTGAAGGCCAAAGATAGGAGCAACGACAATGACACTTCCACTACACCACCAGTGGGCTTCATGAAATTCATAAGCTTGTCGTAATCCAAAACAACTTCCACCTCGGCCAGCTCTGCAGTGACTTTCCTTGGCAAATGCAACTGCCTGGTCATGCCATGAACTTAGCATAATCGCATATCGGTTTTCAATCCTCCGACCCTGGACCCTGGATTTACTTGTCTGCCCCTCGAAGAATCCTTTGTGGCGAGGAAATTACACAGCTTGCCACCCCGGCGTCTCTGCAGCCTCCGGATCCTCCGGTGGCTCTTCGGAAGCCTTCCTGGCTGCCTCCACACGCAGCGTGGCCTCCAGCTGGGGGTTGCAGCAGGTTGTTTTACAGATGGTGGCTTCACCCACAACTCAGCAGACTGGCTGGCCTGCTCACGCCGCTGGGCGCGATCCTTGAGACGGCGTTCCTGAAAAGCCAAGGGTTAGGTCACTGAGCGTCCCGCTTCACAGCCCTCGCCTTCTCCTGGAGCTTCCTCTGCCGCTCTTGCTGGCGCCGGACCTCTCGGCCGTGCTTGGCCACAGCCGGCCAAGTCGGTGCGCCAGGGGTACGTACTGGCAGCTCCATGCGATTGTTCTCATACCTTGGTCCATCGCAAGGCGTCCCAACCAGGCGCAACCGTCGCAGATGCAAGACCAGATGCTTGTCGTAGACTTGCAAGAAGAACTCCTCTTCTTGGTACTTTGTGTCGAAATCCACGCTGTAGACCTGCTGATGGAATGTGCGCGCACCTCCTACGTCAGAGCATGTACGACCAAAGGAGCTGCATCACCAGGTGCTGCCGTGCTCATTGCATGACCACTGCTGTACAACTTTTTAACTCATAAAAAAGGAGGCAGCGAAGGCCTGCCTCGATGGGGTAGTCTGTAGGATTGCACAAGAAGAGCTCTTGCACGCAGTCAGCCGTGCCAGGCAGTACAGGTCCCAGCTCGAAGGTCGTTGAGGGCTCCACATTCACTCTCAAGCCATCACCACACCCTCGCATGTGCATCATCTTTCCTTACTGGCACTTCTTCAAACCATGAGGAAAGAACCGCGATTCAAGGAGCCCCAAAACCACCCATCACACAGCTACAAGGAAGACGAGACTCTCATAGGATTGTCCAGGATCCGGAGGGCCAGCTTCTGATTGTAGGATCTGGATGATGTCGGTGTGAAGCTCACCGTTACGAACTGGGACTCACCCGGAGCCACCCTGCCAGGGTAGCACAGAAGAAAGCTGACGCATCAGGGCCTTGGCTCAGCAAAGATTTCGTGGCCTTCCGGAGCGCGGGCTCAGTGAGTAGGCAAACTCCGTCGTCTTGCCAGGCTTGCTGGTTGGAGCTTTGTAGTCCCAACCTGCCGCAACCATCAGCTTACAAAATCATCCTGTCCCTGGCCTCCTCGCAATCAACTAAATGAGATCCTGTGAGAGGTCATAATCTGTGTGGCTCAACTGCTTCAGGCTGGAAATTGAATAAAAGCTTGTGTTTCTGACTGAAGCTCTGGCAAACGTCACAAGCTTAGGGCCCCAACTAGCCATCACGGACTTGGCATTGCGAAGCCTCGGAGCCCATGAAACCGCACTTCGCTGGGCGGCAGAAGATCTAACTGCTCCCTGGACATGGGTTTTCTCAGCATGTCTTAAGCCCAGGCATTATCACTTTGCCTGACATCAGTGTGGACCCGTACGGTATTGGGCATGATGCTTGAAACAGACCTGTTTTGTTTTGAAAACACAGCCAGGCAGCTTGATAGTAATTCGCTTGACCTGCCCTACAATCACATGCCCGAAGTCAATGGAGTCGGAGGAAAGCTCCAGGTCTGGCCGCACGAACTCACTCGTCAGCTTCACCTGCCAAGATGTTTGGATCGCCTTCCCCCTTCTGAACATAATCCTTTCTTGCTTGTGCAGAGGTCAGTGATCCTAGAAATCAAGTTTCAGCCTCGTAGGAAGGCCCTCCGCGCACCGGAATGATCCAGTTCAGCTCTTGCTTCCCCTCCTCCCCCGTCCTGCAGCCACACAGAAGCTGGGCTCTTTCAACCGCTTCGCCTATCAGCTGTCAGTTTGCAGCTGCTGTTCACGAGCAGACGCTGGTCGGTCCGCTCTAGTCGCTTCAGTATTCTGGTGCCGCTAAGACCCATGTTGTGCTTGGCTTAGGTCAGCTGATGCCACATTCTCGCAGCCCCTCAGATCCCTGCGTGTCATCCGTCCTGTCTCTGAAGCAGGTCAGCTCCAGCTTCACTTGCTTCCCAGGTGGCAGCTTGTTCACCTGCCACAGGGGAACTCGAAGCGCAGCATGGCGCAGTGATACCTTTCTTCTTCTACGGGCTATGCATTCTCTGAAAGGAGTGCCGAGGCTTCGCCCCATGTAGATTCTCCATGTTCTCGTCAATCACAAATAATCTGAATACTCATTCCACTACCCCCCAGACCTTGCATGGAGAATCCCAATACAAGGTTCCTTGCTGCTCTAGGCTGCTGTGGAACTTCATGCCGACACGACACAAGGAATCTCCTTCATCCCCACTATACTAGTGTCTGCATCACACGCTTTAGCCCCATCCTTCAGCCTCCACTGAAATGCCTTGAACCTCTGAACCCCTTGCATGCTTCAGCAGCTAGTCACCAGTCAGCATGCCACAGGGGCAGGTATAATTTGTCAATCGCATGCAAGTAAAGGTGTTCTGCAAGCCTTGTCGGGGGTTACCTGGAAGCCTTTCTGCATCAGGAGCCGCTTGTTAATGTTGAAGGTCACATTCTCATGGAAGCAGTTGTAGACGGAGATCACCTCATAGGGATTCTCATCAACTCAACAACCATTACAGCGGTCTGCTTAAACAGCAACCCCAACTTAGGGGCCACGGGCTTTGTTGGAACCTTCTACTTTTTGCGTGCGGCCCTGGCCTTCTTGCCAGAGTGGCCCAGGACAATATGTCCAAAGTTACCTCAGCTGTTCGTGGAGCCTTTACGAAAAAAGCTCTGCAAAATCGGGATTCGAAGTTGCTCAGGGTTTACCATCCTGCTTTTGCAGATGTCCTAACAAAAGCAGCTCGGGAAGCGATGCCTTGAAGCGCCTTGTATGGATTTTCAACACATCATGAGAAAACCCTTCCTCCCCAATCAACTGCTTCAACAACACAGCATTTACGCATTTTTGCATGTAAGGCTGTCACAAAGTCATGCAACACTGAGACTGAGGTTCTAGAGCCAGCTAGAAACAGGCGATACATTTGGCAATGCCATCAAATCGACTTGGCAGACAACCAATATTACAGTAAACCCTGGAACCCCCAAACCCTCAAATCCTAGACCCTATACTCCCTAAGAGCCTGAAACCTAAACCCTATAACCCCAAAAAGCCTGTATGTCTTCCAGTGACCACATGACACCGCTGTAGGCACTCCACCACTTGAATCCGAAAACCGTGGTGGCTTGCGCGGTTCCCTGTAAAAACAAGTTCTAATGACCTCGCCGAATTGCCCAAAAGGATGTCCAAGCACTCAAATGGACACAAGATCTTGGATGGCTACAGTTGTCCCTACACTATCCTCAATAATTGCCCTTACAATGCATCATCTTACTACCCGCCAAGCAAAGGGTGGACCTTACAACCGATTGGCACTCGTAGTAGGCCGCAGTAATCGGCATTACCTCCAGCATTGGTCGACGCTCGCCGCGGCCGCGGGCTGAGCCTGATACAGGCCATTGCATACTGCAGAACTGCAGACTGTTGTCTTTTGCTGGCGGTAGAAGATAGAAAATTATAAAATAACGGCCGTATAGCAACAATATATTTACCTTAAGTTAGTACTACATACCAGCTAAAATGAAAAGAACCAGTAGTTATAACCTTGGTCAGCCCTCAACAAGCCACAATATCCCCTCCCAATATCTCCCAATGAAGGGGGGTTCCCATACACCCCATGAAATTGTTGGCCTCGGGCTGATCCTTTGCCGGAGGGCTCCTCAGATCGAATGATTTAGCAATGCTTCAGGTGGATTTCCGGACTTCCGAACTCCTTGTATGAGAAACCAACAACCCCTCTTGCCCTGCCAATCTTCGATCACGATGTTATTTTAGCAGGCCCAAGATTCCTGCAAATTTGTTGTATCTTCCTGTGAAGCAGGAACCTTTGAGGGATGCGTTTTTTGAGATATGTGGACATGTGCATAAGGCGCTCTCTTGGGATGTCCCCGAACTGTCCGATCCGAATGTCAATAATCGAGAAGGCAGTACGAGTTCGGACTCAAAATAAGCCACATCCTTTTTCTTGAGCAGTCCTTTGCGTACTTCTCCAGGTGCTTCTCCCACAGATCCTGCAACTGCAAATTCACTGGCAAGAAGTCTGGGCTTTAACAAGGCTGACAGTGTCCTTCTCTTTTGCCAGGAGCGATTGGCAGATGAAGTGACGGTCAACCTGGCAACGGTTCCCACCATTCGCGTGCCCTGCATTCCAGATTCATTTGTGGCCCTGTGGCTGCCTCGAACTCCACGACCTGCCAAGACAGCAGGACATGAGGGCATTGTAGGAGAGCGCTAGCGCGTGTTCTCTCGTAACCAGCACGGGCCTGCGGCTCTGGCTGCCACTCGGCAAAACTTGCTGCAGATTCATTCGCGGAGTTCTCCGCCATGCTGTGCATGCTGGAAGCATTCGAGACCTCGCGACACTCTGCACAGGACCTGCTGTATCCCTGCATGGCTTTCTGCAAGGCAAGTCACGCAGGCAGCTGGGGGAGGAGGCCCGTTCTCTCTCAGCCGCTGCACAGCCAACTCCTTGCTCGCCTGATGATCTTGCCTCAGACACAAGAAGCCAAGCTTCGACGGCTTTGGAAATTAAATTTTGGCAAGAAGCTCATCCCGCCGCTCGAGTCCTTTGAAGACATCCGGCTGGCTCCCCTGCAACAAGAGGATGCCAGGGAAGATCCCGTGACCTCAACAAAAGCGCGTGAGATTTCAGCTATCGATCCAACCGCAGAGGGGCGCACCTCGAACATGTATTCGCTGGCGCTCGAAGTGTGCGACTTCAAGCAATGCGACTTCATTCACTTCGTCAGGGATGCCTTTTCCAAATGCATGCAGCTGTCATATGCTGTGACAAACAAAGACCGCAAACTGCTGATTTTGTAAGTCCGACCTGTGCGGAAGCGCACAGCGATGCGCTCCTGCAGGACTCGTGTTTCTCAAAGTGTTACCTTGTGCGAAAACTGCAGTTGACCGATGCACGGTCACTGGCGCGGTGCTAGATGGCGCTTCGAGTACGTAGCATCATGGCTGTCTGAATGCATGGCTCCTTGTCTCCAGGGTTGATCTGGCCAGAGACCGGCCAGCAATCCAAAACTGGCGGCCGAGAGACAGCGCAGAGATTCCAGTTGAAGTGGAAGGCGACCTCCAGGGTGTAGGCTTCGTGGTTTTGCGACCGGGCTGGGCTTCAATGGTCACTGGAAATACCAATGCTCATATGGCGCTAGCCAGGAACGTGAGTAATATGGACGCCCGAGAACTTGCCGGTAACATGTCTGGCTGTGCCTTGCATGTCTAGGCTTACGAAACAGATGGTCTACGATCGCTGGGCACGGATCCAACACAAAGTAGTTGTTGATCTTTGAAGTTGACTTTTGGAGGGGCGTGCTAGTCACCAAGCGCACCTTGCCGGTGTTTGCCAGGATGATCTCCCGCTCCTGCACCTGAACGGGCTTCGGGTCTCAACACTCAACTCTGAAGGCTCTACATACGAAGTCATTTGGTACAAGATAAGTCCAAATAACAGAATGGTTTCAGGAATCATAATGAAGTTGCTTTATTCTTGGCATGATTTTTGTCCGGTAATTCCTGCTGTCGCTACATTGCGCGATCCAGTCCCCGAGCCTCCGTATAAGGCACCTCCCCAAAGTCGAGCTCCGTTTTGTCGAGGCGAAAGTCAAGCCGGGACGCCTGGCCTTTGAGAGACACCTCGTACCTGAGTGCATCATATACAAATATATACATGCGAGCAGTAGAGAAATCCTTCCCGCGATGACAGTAAGAAGACAGATGCGGTAAATCACAAGCATGTCTGGAATAGTTGCAAAATGTTGCAAACTGTCCTGCTCAACAGTCAGTTTGATCTCACCATGCGGATCCAAACCACCACACCCAGACCACCACAAACAGAAACAGCAAGCGCTGGGACCCCTCTGCGGCAAAGCGGCTCTGGACCACCCTCTGTCTGGCAGACGGCCAGGCAGTCAAACTTCTGGTTCTTCATGCCAAAGTATGTGAAGGTGATGTCCTAAATGAGGCTTAAACAGGGCACGCATGCCTTGGGGTCCAGCATATCTTGGGACGGGCCTGCGAGTGGCCTGGTTCCAGGATGCCCATGATCGGCAGGATGTCGAAAATCTGATTGATGTCCTTGGCGTCTGCTGGCTTGCGTCTGTGGGATGGTGCAACTGATGAGTCAAGCTTCTCATCGCAACGCACAAACATCGTGTCTAGAATAATGCGATGAATGACATACATACATCTTACTTGTAGCCTCCGGGCTACAGCATGACGAAACTTGCGTCTGCTCCGGGCTCATGCGACCTTGCAAGCTGAGGCACCACAACCGGCCGAGGTTGCTTCGTCTTCTGTTGTGGGAGGAGCGTGCCTTGCATCTCGGCCACTTGCGAAAGCCGCGGCACGTTGGGCATCTCCGCCGCGTTCCTGCGTTGCAGCTGGTCCCTTTTGAACCCAGACTCTGCTCCAGGGTAAGTTGGGAAGCCGTAAACACCCTAAAACCGGAATCTGGACCTGACGGCTGCCAGGCAGAAGCTCCGGGCGATACACTTGCGCAGCCACAAACCCTCTAAACCCTAAATCCGAGAACTAAACCTTATGCTAGCATGGCCCAGCAGCGGGTCAGCAGTCGAGCGAAAAGAAGAAGTGTGCTTTGGCGGAAAGCCTTCAAAGAGCTGCTTTACACTTCCCAAATGAGGATTAGGGTATTGGACTTGGAGAGGTTTAGGTTGGGGGTAAGGGTTAGGGTATGCGGAACAATCTAAATGCTACAGCACATGAAAAATGTAATGGCAACTACTGCATTATTTGGGGGAGAGAGATTTTAAAAAGGGATATTGCAGAGAGTTTTTGAGGATGTATGTACGGCTTATGTGGGGGGTTATAGGGTTTGAGGTGTTACGCTTCCTTTCGAGAAGGGAAGGGAATGGAAGGAGTAAAAAGACAGCGAACTCAGGTTATCTAGGTATTCTATCGTGACATACAGGGCAATGGAAGAGAAAAGCGGAACTGCTACATCACTGGGGATCACAGTCACATAGGGACTAGTGCAAGATTTTGTGTGCAACACTTCCCAGGATGGGGAGGGCATACCAGTCAGAACGACGCATCACTGAGATAACTCCAAAATTAGATAACGTAGTTGCCCTAGCACTCACAGAGATTTCATGATGAAGCCAGCAATGTCTGCGGAACAGATCGAATCATTGCAGCCGCATCAACTCCAAAAGATAGAAAGAGGGAGACAGAGAGGGAGACAGGAAAAGGAAGAGAGAGAGGAGAGAGAGAGAGAGAGAGACAAACTTTGCATGTTCCACAGGCTACATTGCCTCACCCAAATTTACAAGACAGAGAAGCTGGGCCACGGATAGTCACAGGATGCCTCCATGAAACGAGATCTTTGAGTTTCTCAAACTGCACCACAGCACAGATTTTCGAACACGACGCATGTGTTCAAGGAGCTATGTCAGCCAAGCAAATTCAGGACCCCGATGTTCTGCTAGTTAAAAAAGGGAAAGAAATACAGAATCTTTGAGAAACCTGCCCAGGCCTGAGCTGAAAGAGTTGGCAGCTGAATTGACAGCGCTCGGCATAACGATCGAGGCTCTTTGTCCTCCACCACCACCACCACTCAAGTCATCTTCACTCATCTCCTCAGGTAGCTGCGAGAGGCTGACTTTCAAGGCTCTAGTCTTTTCAAGAAAGGTACCGGAGCTGGCACCCTCCCTGGGGTCTGCCTTCTCTCGAGTCGGACAGGGCAAGCTGGGGCAGACTGGCGGATGGCAGACGCAGGCACAATAGCGGAAAGAGGCGGATGAAGGGGCTGCTGCCTACTTTGGGAATTGGTAGGCTATGCTATGCTAGGCCTTGGCCCTCTCAGCTGCAGCCTCTGCCTGACCTTACTAACATTTACTAGCTAGGCTGATTGATATTTCAGATCAGCGGCTGCTTCTTCCACGAACGACCACTGGAAGTTTACCGGCAAGGCATTCGGATTCGTCATGGTGATGGTGAGTTGCTTGCTCGTCTCATTCAAGACCTTAGGTCAAACCGAAGCTGCACACAAAGGGATCAATCGAGTTCAGCTGCTCAACTGGATTGAAGAAGTGCCGACTAGTCAAAGAGAACGAACCGATGCGAAGAGAAACAGAAGAATTGTAAATCGAAGGCCTGGAGTTGCTAGAGATGTCTCACGCCTGCGGCCTAATTATTGCTTCACCAAGTCTCGGAGCCAAAGTCCAATTTGTTGCTGCCTGGGCTTGGCAAATCGCGCGCTTGCTGCAACACCTACACCCTACACCTTGCTGCATTACATCAGGCTGCTTCAGGCTCAAGCCTGTGTGCCTTGCGTTTTGCCTGTTTGTCGGGTCATCTTGCTGTCAGACAGACCTAAGGTAATCTGGAGCAGTGCAGCCATCTAAAGCCGCTTCGCTCCTTCTTGTCCGCAGTATGCACAGTAAGTGGGACCTTGCGGCATGAGCGCAGTGAATTGGAAAAGCCATGCCCATGCTCAGGGAAGAGAGGTCCACTGTACTGCAGAGCACATCTGGACGGCCAAAATTGAAGGATGAGAGGGCGCTCTTTGACGCAAGAAACACTTCGCGAGTCTGGTGCTCATGGCTGAAAGCCGGTTCATGGGATCAAGCCCCTGCTCTGGCGCATTCTGAAGAACTGGACGCAACCACCACGTCATCAAAACAGCGGCCAGGTTGGCCGCCTGCGCGCTCGTCGATGAAGCGACGGCTGCGACGGAGCCACTCAGACAGCTTTGCTGCCACCTGGTCACTCAGTAAGGACTCAGCTGAGCCGTGGAAGGAGGCGCCTCCCAGAGCTTTCAGGTGGCTCGGATAAAGGTTCGCAGGACAGACGCTGACACAGAGTTCCTTGGGTGTTTGTGCTGGGGCCCGATTTTTCAGTCACTCCGGCTCCTGGGGTACAAGACAGGATTCCTACACAAATCTCTGAAATTGGATTCCATGTTTTGCCCAGGCTCCGTAAGACAGATCCGTGATGCACGCGGCTCTCCCTCGGAGTGCGCCAGCAAATAGCGGCCAAAGAGAGACTCCAGCACTTGCATCTGCTCAGCGTTATACCTTGGTCTTCCAGCCCCAAATCAACAAGAGTCACAATACCCACGGAATTCTTCACAGCATGTAATCACAGTGTAATCAGTTCTGAATGTGAGGTGCGGGAAGAGCGCCAGCCCGTTCAGTGGCCAATCTTCGGTGGCAAAGACGGTGGTACTGCCCAACAGCAGGGCCGTCACGAGAGCCGGAAAGCTCCACAGACAAGAAACGTCATGCGCGGAGCTGGGGATGAGGGCCAGCATGTAGCAGGGGATGGAGAAAGGGAAGACTACGCCCAAGAGAGGAGCTGCTAACACGTGGAAGCCACAGGCTGTAGCACAGGCCAAGTACAAAGCCACTTGGCCACCAAGCAGACAGGCGAAAACCACAAGGAACTGCATGGCCAGGCCTGTCCAATGCAGCACAGCCAACAGCCTGGGCTGCCGAAGGCATAGGTCCATCATCCAATGCTGTCTCATCCATTGCCTTGGTTACATTACGAAAGGGATTCTTAAGCAGAAAGTCCTCTGAAAAGCACCTTTGCATGTCTAGCTACGGCTAGCTAGTGACGTTGTTCCAGCTTCAGCCGTTCTGAGGCCAAGGGACGGCTCCACAACACAATGCGGTTTGAACGGCAGTTCTTGGTCTCGGGCAAAGCGCAGGTGAGACTCCAGCGTGCTGGGGTCCAGCCACTTCCAACCGCCAATCCGCAGCTTGTTGAGGGCTGGGGAACCCAGCTGGTGCGCCACAACTAGTCTGAGCACTCCGGAGCGAGCACTCCCTGCAGGCAGAAGCATGGCGAGGGCTGTGTAAAGGAATATGAAGCCTGTGTGCCCGCCATATGCCGCGAAAGCTATGAAGTCTGCGAGCAGGACAAAGAGGCCATAGGCAGCCCGGAGCCAGAAGACCTGCAAGGTGGATCCCAGGTTTTTGCCACTTGCATGGCCAGCGCACGTTTATTTTAGGCCCTTCCCGTCATACCTCCACCAAGTCCGTCGCGAGCACCAAGCCCAAAACTGCCATGCAGACGATGAAAACACGATACCATCTCCGTGCGCCACGCAGGAGCCACACAGGTGCCCAGGAGGGTCCTGAACAAAACAAGCCCAGTTCTGCAGCTGCGCTGATGGCGCTGTGGAACTGTGAAATTAACTAGCAAGCCACTCTGCCCACCCATGCGCTCGAAGGCTACTTTGGCATGTCGTGGCATTGCATCTCTGCGGCATCCACGTTCGAAGAAAGGCCTGCTCTGTGCTGACCAGGGGCGGCGTAGCACTGGGGAGTCCCTGCCTTCTTCAGCAAAGTAGGCGAATGCGATCAAGGTCGACACGAAGTACCAAAGCCGATCGGGAACGCACATTGCGGCACGCGCCACCGAAGACTCAAACAAACTCAGCCCTAGTAGCTGAAGCCCAAACTTACAGTCAGGGAATGTCAAGAGCAGGACACGTTGGAACAGTCTTTGACATGGCTAACTTTGAATGCAGCTTGGCTGCTCAAGGAGAGATTTGGGAAAATGACTTCGCCGATCAGGTTTACATGGTCTCTCTGCGGGTGGTCCTGCTGCTGAGCAAAATACAACCTCTTGACAGACAGAATGGTGCCCGAGCACTCTCCTGGTAAACGATGGTCAGCTTCTGCTTCACGGTACCACAAACACGATCCACCTTGAAGGCTGGATCGAACTCCACACGAATCCTCGGAAGCTGCAGGTGGCTGAGAGCCATGCTGCGCCCAATACATTTTGTTGTGGTCCAAGTATCTCCAGCGTTTCACCAGATCGCAGGTAGCATGTGTCGATGTTGACATAGAAAGGCCTCAGCAGCTGCAGCAAGCACAAATTCCTTGCAGTCGCCCAATTCAAACATGAGCATGCTCTTCAGCTGCCATCAAGCGACGGCTGGACCTTGATGAAGAAGCGAACCTAGCGTTCTACCCACTCAAGCGCACACGTTCCAATCTTAAAAACAAAGCGGCTTAGCTCAAGAGCTGATTCAGCTGCTCGTGGCAGACTACTTGCGTCAGACTTCAGCCAGGCTTTTGTTTTCCCTCCTCTGTCTCGATGATGCCGGATCAGGAACCCAGTGCACACAGCAGTTCTCGCAACTGCGCGCTTGACTCAAAAGCGCATCATGCTGTGCTTCAGCAGCCTCCCTACTCCGCAATCTTCGTCTTCAGGGGGCTTTTGCACTTGCCTACTCAAGCTCCCGTGTCCAAGCAGTTGCTCTGCAAGCTTAGCTTGTGGCAACGGCTTCCACTTCCACAGTGCCTTCCTCCGCCTCCTCGTCTTCATTGAAATCTTGCCAAGGCCCACGGGCCGGGCCTCCCTTACCCAGCGGGTTGGTGTGCGGTGACCATGGGCCATGGTTCAGCGGGAAGCCTGAGCAGACCAGAACACGGAGAAAGTTTGCATCACCCAAACCACAAAATGCAGCAACATCACCATCCTGATGGCTTCCTCCCTTCTTACTTCTAAGCTAGCTTTACTGTGGTGAGTAACAATATGACAAGGAGGCATTTGGCCTAGGGGCTCTGGCGTAGCTTAGGTGTCCACAGGCCGTGGCGTGGACGTTGTTTGCGCTCCCAATTCCTTGGTCAGGTGGCCGTTTTGAAATGTTCCTCCCCCACCCCGTTAGGCATCACGACCATATACAGTAAGAGTCAGCTTGGGTCTACTCGGATTCCTTCAAGGTCATATGCTAAGAATGGCAATGCCCTGGCTTCTAGGCTGTACAGGCAAATCATGCTTTCAAAGCAAAACTTCCAACCGGTTTTTCTGATTTTTCATATGAATATTGATCGATGTTAACCTAGCATTAGTATCGGGGGTGACCATAAAGAAATTTTCCGCCGGGCCACAATGAGTCCGGAAGACTGCAACAGCCTAAAAGCTGGATCAGGGACTATCGGACTATCGGATCTATCAGCCTTAAAACCGACCGGCCCTGAAATTGTACAGTAGGGCCTCAGTAGGATGTCCAACAAAGCAAGCATAATGTTCACAACTTCCCCAAGAGAATTCAACGCCCAATAAACCCTCTGAAGTAGGATCCAGTTTCAGGTGCTCCGCCAAGCCTGTGCGCTCCAGGATAGCATCGAACCTTTCAGATATTGAAACTTTACGTCTGGGTCTTGGGACCGACATACTTCAGTCTTTCGGGGGCTGGGGGCTTATCCCCAAAAACCCTGCATTTGTGGTTTTATCCCCAAAGCACCTGTCTCGAACCTTCTCGCGGGAGCCCAAGCGCCGCTCAGCGAATCGCAGAGCACGGTGAAGCTTCCTGAAGGAGGGCTGTTGGAGGGTTTTTGCTGCTGTCTGTCTTGATTGGCGCTCTCTTGTCAGTTCTTCCGATTGTCTGACCCGCTTTATCATCATTATCCTTCACTCTCCTTGAAAAGATTGTGCAAGATTTGCCACCTTGCCCTGTTCTGCTTGGATCACAACCACTGCAGTTCGAACTTTTCCAGGTTTATGAGGGTGCAATATGGGCTGTCTGAACAACGAAAGGCAGAGATATGCTGGGGCCAAGCCGCAGGAGCTACAATAGCTATGTAATGGAGACATATGCCTTTCAAATGCGCCCAGCAGCCACCCAAGTGCCAACAGTTCCGGCTGCTCACCGACCTTGTTCCGTGTCTCCTCCTTGCCTGAGATTCTTGCAGGTTTTGCAGCGTTTGAGGTTATATGGTTTCAGGAGTTCCTCGAGGTTAATAGTCTAGGGGCAGAAGCTGCAACCTTATTGTCCCTGCATGGTGCGGGTTTAGGTTCAGGTTGAAACGTCTTTTTCAAGCATCCACAAAAATGTCTCTCTCTTTTTCAACTAGTAGAGATTGTATCCAAAAATCGATCCAGTTTCTTCCCCGTCTAAGCCGAAAGAATGTAGGCTAGTGACAGCTGGCCCCTTGACCCTCTTAGAAAGTACCGTTGATGTATCCTATGGAGGACTGTCATTGGGTGAGAGCTGGTGGCCTCTACTCCGACCTCCTGGCGTTCATTGGTGCTGAGCAGGGAGGGGTAAGTTGGGCCCATGAGATCGCTTTGGAGAAATGCTGTCAGGATTCTGCCTCCCACGAGTCACGTTGCATTTATTGAAGACCAAGCTGCCAAACAAGTGTTCCATAGCCTCAAAGGCTAGCTCAAACTTCCGCGACTTGCGCCTCAAGAAGGAGCGCGAAGAAAACATAATGTAAAAAAACGTAGTGACCACAATAACAGAAGCAGCACACAATAGCAACAATGATGGCCACTTCGGTCCCTGCAACATTAACTTACAATCATCTCGTCATCTTGCAGTTCAAACAGCAAACACAGACCAACAGAAAGTATCACTGTCGAGTTGCTGGTTTTCCTCAAGGAGGAGGTATGGCGCCTTCCTTACGGCCTTTTGGGCACCCTCCTGACAAGCGTGTGACATAAGCTGACTCGCTCAAGAAATCTCAACTCAAAGATGCTGATTACGCTTGGCACAGTATCTACAATTTAAGGGTGTGTAGCCGGGATCACTGCACTGCTGAGCCTTGCCCAGCAGTTGCCGCAGACTACCCAGCCTGCCCAGGAAGTTCTCGCCTGAGCTTGGGACCCTCAACAACACCTCCTCTGGCGCTCTGTTCAATGGTCTGACCAAGTTGAACCAAGTTGCCATACCATTTCAACAACAGCGGCTCCTGGGCTATCGCCTTGTGTGCCTCTCACGGTCGCTCTTGGCTGCTCTCTACTTATCTCTACTTTGCTTCTCTGGCTGGAACATACTAGCAAGCTGGAGACATGCCTCCTCCAGGCCACCAAAAATCGCTATCAACACCTGGCGCTGGCAAAATGGAAGAAGCAAGCACCCCAGCAGCTTGTAGCAGCCAAGTTGCTGGGTAGCCTCACAGGGTATGCATGGTTCAATGGTGCTACAACTTCCAAATCTCGCTGCAAAGCCTCCTGGCACCGCAGAGACGTAAGGAGATCGGGCCACTCGTTCCATGGCCGGCTTTGCCACAGCCATGGCAGCTTCGGTGCTGCCCATCACCGCGGTCATGTCACCCATGGCCTGCTTGGACGCATCTGGGCTGTCAAAAGCTGAAAAAATCTTGATTGCCGATGGCTTTGGCAGTAGCCCTCATCACATTTGGCAGCCGCAGGTGCTTTGTAGAAATCGCCCACGGGCAAGTTGGTCAGCTGCGGGTACTTAGCGATGACTTCCCGCAGCCTCTGTCGGGATCCTTAGCTCTCTCGGATACTTGCCATGGCCCCGTGCTACCTCTCACTGCATTCAGGAATCCCAACACATTGATCAGCGCCGGGAGCGTTGCCCGCATTAGCTTGGAGTTTTTGGTGAGCAAATACGGGCACTCGAAAACGGCTTCCTTCGCAGCCTGGCAACCCATGCAGTCGACTGGCGGACTTTTTCGCGTGGCCTGCAGTCTGAGCCTCTTCGCCCAAGTAGATGCTTAGAAGGTGCAGGGCATTTCTTGCGGTTCTGCGGGGCCACCGCAGGATCGAAGGTTCATCCTGAACAGTATCAACCTTTTGAGCCGTGCGCGTGCGGTCCACTTCATGATGGGCTTGCAACCAATGCAACCACTCCTCGATCAGCTGGTTGACAAGTTCCGGGCTTCCGAACATGTCGACCATGTCTTCCCAACGGCGAATGAGGATGTGTTCCTTGCAGAAAGGTGTCCTTTTGTCCATTTAGCTTGGCCTGATGAGCCCTGCCTCTGTATTTACTCCAGGGAAGGTTCGCTGGAAGATGTCGAGAGCAAAGTCCGCTTCTTTGGGCGGTGGTCGCCGAAAACCTGACCCATGCATGCGTAATTCAGCTTCGTGCCACTTGCCTTTGCGGACAAGCCCAAAGTGGCCTGTTTCTGGATCCCGAAGCTTATTGGTCCGCTGGCGCATTGCCAGTGGTGCTGGGGGTGGCAGCTTGATTCCCCCGGGCAACATGAGCGCGATGCCATGGCAGATGTGATGGAGGCTCAAAGCCAAGCAGAACACAACGGCCAGCTGCCAGCTCCTGCAAAAGATAAGAGCCACGAGGAATAACAGCAGTACAGTAGCATGGAAGGCACTCCAGCTGTGCTCCTCACATCTAAGCACGGTGCCAGCTTCATCTTGCCACCATTGCAGGCAAGTTTCACCAGCGGAGGGACCTACTACCTACCATTATGAACGTAGCCAATCTGGCCGCAAAATGGCAACGGAATTCATGCGGTTTTGGCGCTAGCCTGCCAATGCCAGAACCCTCTCTGAATGACATCCAGCATCATTCAACACACCTGGCCTCGAGAGGCGAGATATTCTTCAGCACCTTGATTCACGGCAACCGTGGATCTCAAGTGCCTCCATAACTCAAAGCATTCCCCCCAAAGGCAGCCCAGGGCGCGAGAGGCTCTGAGAGTGGGTGCAGCGGGCAGTTGCGCTCCCATAGGTATCCTGTGCAGCACTGCATGCAAGGTGCAAAACTGCTGCCCAGGCAACGCACAAGCAACTCTTGCCACCACGCAGCTAAAGGACACTGATGTCGCGGACAGCTCTAGCAGAGGGAGTACCTGGAAAGTATTGTGCAAGGGGGCGTCTCAAATGAGCCATAGTCTAAACTCCTATCCCCTATATAATCCCCTATATACCCCCCTTTAAGGAGTTTAGAATACAGCTCAAATGATCTGAACTCTGCTTGGACTGCTTGGCAAGCTGCAAAGTTTCCTCGAAGCTCCGTTCTGTAAATTGCGTTGCCCTTGCGATCGTTGCCACAAAGCCTGCAGCGAATCTGAGCAGTAAATGAAGAAGACCTCTCTCATGTGTTTCGGCGGCTGCTGAATGGGTCTTGGGCCAATTCTGACTCTCGTCTGTTTGCTTTCGGGGTTCTGGGGTCCTAGCGGAATCCTGACCATCGCCTTAAAATCACTTCAAGATGGCCATGTTTCATTTGCTGCCCCCATCTGCAAGGGGGGTGGCGAATCTGAACCTGCAAGGGCTTTTTTCTTTGCTGCCGGGCAGCTCGGTACAAACCAGGGTGTCCGAGAGTGAGCCAGGCTTAGGGCTAGAAGCATTGAAGACGAAGCGGAAGGCACACTTGCCGTCCAAGGTCCTCGGCTGTCTGAGTGGCTTGTGCTCAGTCCTTTCCTCGTTACACTCCCTCGCGGCCAAAGTAGCCGTGGGGTTTGGGTCAGGTGCCTGCCTTTGAAACACTCACCGATGAGTGTGTGAGTGTGACATAGTCAGCTGCGCCCAAAATTAGATGTTTTACAAGACCGCAGGTGCAATAGCGCCCTGAATTCTATGTTTTTGCTTGCCCGCGGAAATCACCATCCGTCTAGAGGCGGGTGAAACAAGTCCAACAAGTCACTGGGCTCCAGGTGCCCGAGGGAATCGTCCGAGTCACTTGCTGCATCGCTGTCATGCAGGTGGCTCTTGGCCCCCTCCACTGATCTAGCGAGGCGCACGGCATATCCAAAGAAGTCTGGTGGGTCTCCGAGCTCATCATCGACCAGCACATCCCCATTGCCAATCTCGCTCTGTGCACGCGCATCAACAATGGTGGACTGTTCGCCTTCTTCCTGCGCCACCCGTGAGCTGGCTTTTGCTTTCAAGCTCCGCTGCACCGTGGCAAAGAGGACGCTCATCCCCGCTGAAAAGTCCGAGCGCAGCTCGGAGCCCGGCCGGGCCGGCTGAGCCGCTGGCTTTGAAACTTTTGGCGCTTTTGCTCTGAGAATGGCACGCTTGTGGAAGAGGTGGCTGAACGCAGACTCCAAGTCCGTCGATGGTGGCTTTGGAGGTCCCTTCACCGGCGCTTTCTCCATCTCCTGTTGGGCACGAGGCTTAGGAGCAAACAGCAAGTCCAGCTCTTCCTCCTCGACCGCTGATGCTTTTGGAGGCTGGCTCTTTGCCAACGGCGTGAAAAGCTCATTGAGGCCATCGTCCTGGATCTCAGGGGCTGCTTTCGGCTCAGCAGCCTCGGGCGTCTGAGGCTTTCGAGGCGACGAAATGCTCCGAGCCTCATCAGCCTGATCAGCCTCGTTGCCACTTTCTGGCGGCTCAATGTCGGCCTGTGGCTGCGGCTTGCCAAGCATGGCACCCAAGACCTCCGAGTCGGCTTGGTAAGCTGAGCTCGACCTGGAGGTTAGCCTTTCCCACCACTTTGGGCAGCATCTGCGCAAGATGCACTGACAAAGGCATGGTATGCAAATCAGGGACGGCACGCCCACCACGATCCACAGAATCAGCTCCATGGTTGCCACGTTGGCCCCCGACGAGGCTACGCAGCGCTCTTCTCCTGCCTCTAGTTGACACCGGGTGCTCAGCGGGCACAGCTTCTGGCAACCTTCGCCTCCGCTCCTTCCTGTGACAATGGCAGAAACCAGGACGGAGACCAGCGCGATGTAGCCACCGAGAAAAAAGACAACGAGGCAGATGCGCAGTCGGCTGTAAAAGCGCGTCTTCTTCTTCTTTGGCGGCTCCGCTGCTCGAATCGCACGAGCTGCTGCTTCCTGTGCTTGTCTCCAGTCCTGATATGACTCTGCCTGCGCCCTTCCCGGGTATTGGAGCTGCGACCTCTCGCTGCCTCGTCGTCCCTTGTTGGGACTCTCCTGGCGCGAATGCTGCGAGTTCTGCGAGTTCCGTGAGTGCCTGGAAGGCCTCGTCGGGGTCTGGGACGGCCTGCCTGGCCGGCCCGGTATGCCAGGGCGAGCCAATGTGTCGAAGGTGTCATCATCCACCGCATCAATCCATTCTCGGCCGGGTGGCTTTGGCATGGCACTGGCCTCTCCATTGCTCCCGGAAGCTCATGGCCTATTGTTCTGGATGTCTTCAAACATAGCAAGCACCGATGGAGCAAGAGGCTTGCAACTCACTACTTGTAAGAAGACGCACGGATCAGCACCCTCTCCCAGCCAAGTGTCACAGCATCAGGCACAACGGAGAAGATGCGAGCTTCGCCTTTGAGAGAAAAGTTGCCACACAATTAACACTCCAGTGCAGGCTCGAGTCCACGCCTTCTTCGGATTTCTCTTTGGTAGGCGTCTTCCTGTCTTTCTTCTTTGTCTCCTCTGACCTGAAAGATGCAACCGGTGCCCAGCCTCCCAGCCCCTGCGCAAAACTGACCAAATGCCGAGAAGCTCCAGCGTCCAGACCAGCTTGCGCGGCTGCCTTCCTCTATTTTCGATGACAACCTCCCTCGAGTGCGTCTGGGTGGTGTACTGCGTCCCGAAATCAATGAGTTCAAGCCTGGTTAGATTGTCGGTGTGTAGGCACAAAGCACTTGCTGCATGCCTATAATGAATAAAGACGCAAACAATCGCCAGCAAATATTGCCAAGCAACGACTCTTTGCACGTAACTGGTGTGCCAATTCCCTTGGCGCGCACGGTCACTGACACGTCATTGCTTTCGTGGACGATGACCTGCGGCTTCACAAGCTTGGAGCTGCAAGAGGCTCTGCAGCTCATTTCTGCGGCTCAGTGGCATGTGCAATGTCTGTCATCTTGGCCACTTCATCGATTGTTAGGGTCATGTACCTCAAGCGCTGTCCGTGGCAGCTCAAAATTGGCTCTCAAGCTGAAGATGTCAACTTCTATACTTGAACAAAACTGGGGCCTTCTTAACATCTTTCATAGAGCTGATGACAGGCCTCCCTGTATTCGGGCGAACAGTAATGGGGGCCCAATATTGCAGACAACCTCACTTGGCTGCAGACCAGCAACAAGTATGCCGACTCGTGTGGCTGCAGCTCCATGGCTTTCGGCGAAAGTGTCCACAGGGAGTTTCTGGTCTTCATGATGCAGCGAACCTCGGTATCATCACACATACTGATGCTTGAAGAAACGGTACTTCTGAAATGCCCAAGATAATGCGCGCGTAGAAAAAGAACTGACAATGTGAGACATCACCCAACTGCTCAGGAGGAAAACTAGTCATGAGCATGCGCAAGTCTTTGTAATAATGCACCGCAATATAAGTGGTAATACTAGTGACGCAGATGATCCTGCAAGCTAGGCGGTCGGTTGACGGACAGGTGGACATCTGGGAGATCATCTGGGCATTCGCCCAAGAACTCCCCGCTTTGGTCATATTTGTGCCCAGACATGAATAACCTGTGAACAACATAACCACGTCTAGCACGCCCCCCAAGTAGCTGCTGTAATCCTAGCTTGAAAACGATCACGATAGTGGTGGCCATCATCATTGCTTGAACCACATTGTTGACTCATAACATGGTGTTTCTGCCAGAACATGATTACCGTCTCTTTTGCCAAAGGCACTGAGGCTGGAATCACGGAATTGTTGCTGACCAGCACAGAGCGTGTGATGGGCTCCAGGCATTGCGAGTTACCCCAGTCCTGGGCTGTTGGAAAACCGCTGCCCCTACTTGCTCTACTGCTGCTGCTACTGCTGCTGCTGCTGCTGCTGCATGCTGCTGCTGCTGCTGCTCCTACTACTACTACTACTACTGCTACTACTACTCCTCCTCCTCCTCCTGCTGCTACTGCTGCGGCTACTGCTACTGCGACTGCTAGTGCTATCGCGACAGCTACGGCGGCTGCTGCTGCTGCTACTACNNTGCTACTGCTGCGGCTACTGCTACTCCTGCTGCTGTTTGTAATTTATAACCCACCCACAACAGTCACCACAGCAGCCACAGCCGCAGCTTTCTTGCAAGCAGGGCTGCAATCTGTTTCCAAATTCATGATGCTAACAAACCTTGGGCTAACTTCCAGAACAGACCAGATTCTACCACATTTGGCTCCACGTTCACAATTGGCCCGATGGTGTTGGCAATCAGGGTCACTGTATCTTGGCTGCAGGTGGGTTTATCCGTCGACCGGATCAAGCAGTCACGTCCTTCAGTTGGTGCCATTCGATCCGCAAAAGATGGGTCCACAAACTCCGACCTACCAGGCATCCTTACGAGAATGATCGACCATAGGACACGGGTGCGGTTGACGAACCCGGATCAGCTTCATCCTAGGCACTTGCAGAGTTGTGCCCCAAGATTCGGATGGTAATCGGTATCTGCAGCGTTCCAATCACTTGTGAAGTCAACGTGAAGGTGAGGACCTCTGATCCACACGAACTCAGAGATAGTAGCCATCAAGCTGGGCATGCAATCTTGCATGAATTAAAATCGCATCAGGTCGGAGGAATCTGGGCCAGAGGAGAGACAGAACACCCATCATCAGCACCCTCATAGACATGAAAGTTGACAAGGAATCATGGTCCGAGCGTCGTGTGAAGAAGCCGGTGGCACTGATCCAAAGGACTGATCCGGCTCAAATTCTGCGATGGATCTCCTGAGACACAGCTGACACGCCGCCAAGAATGATGGGAATAATTCACCATTAAATGGTTTCGTGTTGGCAGCGCTGCCCAGGCAAAAAAAAAAAAAAAAAA